AGCTTTCAGGACCCAGGGCGATGGGTGGATGTGGACGGGGGGCAGGGCACATGTCCGCCTCTCTCTCCAGTGCCACCTATGGGGACCTCTGTGGAGCACTGACACACATGCTTGTAACGCAGGGCTGGGCTGAGGGGGGTCTGGGTTTCTGGCTTGGTGGCCCAGACAGCCGCGGCAGGAACCCCTGGAGTCGGAACCACACAGACCAACTCCCGGATGGCCCTACGCACCTGGCCTGCTGAGCAGTGGGACCTTCACACGCAGCTGCACTGTCCCCACAAGGCAGCCTCTGTGCAGCCCCGTGGAGGGAGGACACTGCTCTGTGTTGCGAGCCAGTGGACAGAGGGGTTGGGCGGTGCTGACAGGTGGCCGCGCAATGACACTGGGTAGGTGCAGGCATCAGGGACACAGCCCCCACTTGAGGGACCCCAGCCGACAGGGCTGTGAAAGCCATTTGTGGAGGCAATCTCATTCACCCCTTCCCCTGTCCTCCAGGCCCGAGGGGAACAGGCCTTTGAGGGGGTGGCGGTCCAGCCAACCCTACACTTTAGCTCTACACAGAGGCCATGTTCTTCGAGACTCCTCTGTATGGACTCTGCTGGAGTCATGAAAACATGCCTTTGGCCGGGCTCGGTGGCTCAGCCTGTAATCCCAGCACTTTGTGAGGCCGAGGCGAGTGGATTGCCTGAGCCTGCAGGTTTGAGACCCACCCAAGCAACTTGGCGAGACCTCATCTCTACAATAAGTCAAAAATTAGCAGCCGGGTTCAGTGGCTCAGCCTGTAATCCCGCGCCTTGGGAGGCTGAGGTGAGTGGATTGCCTGAGCCCGCGGGTTCGAGACCTGCCTGGCCAACTTGGCGAGACCTCATCTCTATGATAAATCAAAAAATTAGCCGGGTGTGGTAGCGCACACCTGAAATTCCAGCTACTTGGAAGGCTGAGGCAGGAGGATCGCTGGAGCCAGCAGGTTGAGGCTGCGGTGGCCGGAAGCAGCCACTGCACTCCAGTCTGAGCGGTGGAGTGAGACTCCAACTCAAAAAAAAAAAAAAAAAAGAAAAGAAAACATGCCTTGGCTGGTTAAGAGGAATAAGACAAACTGGAATAACAGTAACCAGCAACTCTCCCTCTTCCCTTGGATGTGGGACTTCCCCTACTCACGTGTTAACTTCCTCATCCGTAAAGCAGGAAGAAATACTCCTGCTCCACGGGGTTGTAGTGAGGATTAAATGAGTTAAGGCGTGCCAAGAGCTCAGCATAGTGCCTGGCACAGAGTAAACACTAGCCAAAATTATAAAGTGTCTAAAAGTCAAAGGCAAGGAGCTGTATGGTGGAAAGTGCTGGCAACAGTTCGCAGCAGTGCCTATCAGAGTGGTCTTCAGAACTGCGGCATCATCACCTGGGAGCCGTTAGGAATGCCAGTTCCCAGGCCCCACCCTGAGCTGCGGAACCAGAAACTGTGGGGGCTGGGCCCAGTGAGCCTTTCAGGGCTGCAGGTAGGCCTGATGCCGGCTCCTTTGAACACTCTGTCCCAGTAGGTCATTCTGGGTGCGAACTGCTGGGTTTCATCTGTGGGTTCCAGGCTCTTGCCAACGTCCCCCCAGACAAGCAGGATCACACAGTGAGGATGCTGCATCTTCCCGACTTCTCACTCAGAAAAGGCCCCTGTGAAGACCCCTGTGGGGAAGGTCTTCCCCACCCTTTCTTCCATCTGGAAGAAGAGTCTCAAGTCACTTCTCCAGAAGAAAAGTGCTGGAGACTGTGGGCAGCCGAGGAACCCCAATGTCAATTTTATCAGTTCCCTCATGAGCCTAAACAATGGCTTTTTTCCAAAGGTGGAAAAGAAGAAGAAGAAGAAGACTGGTGGCCTTAAGAAACTGAACTAGGAGCAAGACCTCATCACCTGTTAGGAAGAAGTGAGGGTGCCTGTGCTTAACTGGCTTTAGCGAAATTTAAGAAATGGAACATAGGGAATAAATGCACTCTGATGAAATACATGCAACTAATCTCTCAATGCTGAATTTCTTTTAAGAAAGCGATTTGCTAAGCACAGAGGAAGAAAAAGGCTGCCATGATTGTGAAACTGCTGGAGCCCCAAGAGGAAACACATAAATGTTGTCTCATTAACAGTGGTGTTTCGTGAGAACAACTTTATCGGGAGTTATACCGAGAATCTGGCAACATTAATTTACAGGAAGCACAGCAGTACCACAAAACAGTTGTAGAGCCTGTTTATTGCATAACTAGCAGGCACAAATTCCAAAATGCTTCTTACAACACTTGAACGGCACAATCATTGCAAGAATAAAATGTACAACAAAAATGAAAAACAAGTACAGAATGACAGGGTTGAACACACTAGAATAAAGGCATCTCATTTTTCCTATGCAGCATTTTCTTTTGTAAGAACAAGTGTTACCTTCAGTGAAGACAAGAAAAGAAAGAAAAGTGTACTATTGGAGAGCCCGTGGACGCCTCTGAGGGCAAAATCATGCTCGTTTCGCTCTTGTTCTGTGACTGAAATCATTTGAGGAACTGTGCACAGCTCCTGAGTTGTGCGCTTATAGCTCCGATGTTAGGAAATGCTGTATTTGACCTTTGGGCCCAAAATCATTGTTCTTTGGCAAATAAGAACTATTTGCATTCTGAAGCAGAGGATTTCTGTGAAAGGAGCTTGGGGTAGAGCTGTTTCCTCCTGTCAAGTGCCAGTTTCATAAAGTGCACCTCTGTCCTATCAGCTTCGGGGGAAGTGTGCATGGGAGGGAGGGGTCATGGAGAATACAGGGTGAGGAAGCCACATGACAGAATGTAGGCATCACTAGTGCAAGCCTACTGAATCCATGTGCAAAAGGTGGCCAGAACAAATACACAGACAAAGTGCGACTGCTGACAGGAGCAGAGAACACTGACACTAGATCTCAGATGAGGCTAAGGCAATGTGCAGGGCATGTAATGAGAAGGATAACTTGCACCCTCCTGCTGTTGTATGCCCCTTCACCTGGGAACTTCTGTTCAGAGTTGTGGCACTGTGGGTTCACTGAACAAACTGTTTGGTGGGATTCTCATAAGTGGAAATGCTTTCTTGGTCTCCACATTCCCTGACTTTCCCTCGGGGCATAAAAACAATGTCCTTTATCGCAGGTCCTCAAGAGTTCAGGGCAAGACGCCACTTCACTTACTGCAGACAACTCATTTCCCAGAAGCCTCTACAGAAGCCCGTCCTCCCTGAGAGGCCAGGAGCACCAGCTCAGGACTGCCACTGGGCCTTTCCTGAGGACCCTGGCGAGCTCTGAGAGCAGGGGCAGGTGTTTGCAAGAGAGAGGGGGGACAGCTAAGTACATGAGGCATGCAGGAAAGGCTATCAGATGATGCCCGAACTTATGGGAGAAGGCCCCCTTCTGGAAGGCATCCCGAGTATCCAATGGTAAATGTGGCACTTAAGGCTGTGTGACAAATAAGCGGGCGAGTCTTGGTGATGTGGACCCTTTTCCATGCTACTCACAGTGTAGCAAAACCTGACAAAAGCATCCACACACCGTGACTTAGTAAACCAAGCACCACTGTGGTGCGTCTTTCTTGACAGCATACGGTCAAGTTATAAAGTTGTGCATGTATCAGTTCTGTGAAAACAGAGGCTTGGTTAGCACAGATTGAGGCAACTTGTACTTTGATTGTTGTGACTTCTCCACATGGGTGAATGAACACTATGGGACAGAGCATATGGGTAAGGACGGTCAAGAGCAACTTGACACAGGGTAGGACGGCCACTAAGCCTCTAAGCCAGGTGAGTCTTAGAGGCTGGCCCAGGGGTGTCCAGGGAAGCTGGGTCCTCTGCACAGCTGACTGGGTCCTAGAGGCCACAGCTCACTTGCACATGCTCTCTGAAGATGTTTGAACTGGTTGTTAACACTTACAAATGGAGAGATGGCACACACACACACACACACACACACACACACTCACAGATATCCTGATTTCTAGTTTCTCTTGAAAAATCAAAGCTGTGGCAACTCTGGACCTACTTTTCCACATGGCGACACAAGTGGGCTGGGGTGCTGCCATTCCTATGTGTTGGGCCCTGGGCTCCCCTACGGTGCACCTGGCTCACTTCACTCACACCCACACAAAACTGCTACCATAGCAGGGACAGGAAGATACTTTAATATTCAGAACAAGAAAGGCTTCTTTAGTAACTTAAAAAACAATCTCAGCATATTCCAGCATGTAAACCTGTCTTCTTGCATAGCTCTGGGGGAGCTGGTAGCCAGCAGGAGCGCACTCTCTAAGGAGTTCTTGAAAACTGATGTCTAATTTTTAAGTACCAGTGAGGTAATAAAGGTGAAACTCAGATGACTCCGTACATCTTACCTTATAAGATGTCCTTAAAGATGACACAAGATGTGAGAGAGCTGTAAGGGGTTAAGGGCGTAACTGAGCTTTGGATAAATGGTATAACACAGTGTCAGGGAACAGATTATTTCTTTTCCCACAGTCCATGGCAGTGATATCTGAATGGGTGATACAAAATTAGTAATGGCTTGTTAGACCAATGCTCCTCTTTGCTACATGTTTAGAACAAAATGTCTGTCTTATAGCCATAAGGCAGAGCATTTACTTGACAATGGGTGATAGTGCAGGTGGAACTCCTACCCTGAATATGGCCTAATGAGACATGTGTGGAAGGTGACTGCTTAATCTGACTCCATGGAGACTTCAGGATGATAAAGAAACATAAAGAGATAGAAGATCAAGATAAAAATTAAATAACAGAACACTTAACATGATAGAACAGTTAGAAGAAATAGATCACTTCATTGTTTCCTTCCAAGAGAGACTATTAAACTACTTTTAGAAAGTGGCAAAGTCCTTCCTCTACACACATGCTTGGAGATACCCCAAACTCGGAGAATTTGCAGTAGGTTAGAAAAGTCACTTATTGCACGATGCTTGGTAGGGAACAGATAATGTTGACTTCTTTTTTTATCCAACTCTGAAAAAAATGTTTTACTAAAAATCCCATTTATAGTTTAGCCACAGGTAGAGAGTTTGAAGGGATGGAAAAGTTTTAACAAACTTTAGACAATGAAACTACACTTTTGGGTGCATATGATCATTAACTCAACAGTGGTTGACAACATAACATAACACCAGAAATGTTTTAAACCGGCAAACAGGCACAAAATAAGGCAAGTAGGTTAAATTAATAGTTGGAAATTTGTTAGAAAACATGCAAAAATAATACTGAGTTTTCATTTAAAAAGTTTTAAACCGTCATTAAATGTTTTTGTAAAAATCTGGAGTTCCATGTCTAAATTTGCAATTGGACTTTAAAAAGTCTAGAAAAGAGAAGGGACAGTGCTGGGTGGTCAGTTGTTGTTCTCTTTGGTGGTGATAGTGACCAGCTGCTTAGCAGCCTTGGCGATGTCGTACGCACACTGGATCACCTGCTGCGTGACCAGCTGGACATCCGTGGGTGAGCTTGAGTCCCCCGGGAGGGTCTTCTTGCACTCAGACTGGAGTCGGTATGCACTGGATGTCAATAAACGAAGGGAAGTCCTCACCATGTCAGACTTGGGTTTCTAAACAGAAAAACACAGCCGTTTGCTGTGAACTCAGGATGGCCACTCAAGAGCAAGGACAAGCATTCTTCTGAAAAGAAATCAAGCTGTTCCACAGAGTAAAAGACACTTTGGTCATGCACCTTCTCGAAGGGGTGTTCTACACACTCAAAGCTTTGCAGCCCACAGTGTATAAGATGCCAAAATGTGCGGCTGGGTGCAGCAATACCTTGTCTCTATAATAAATGAAAAAATTAGCTGGGTGTGGTTGCACATGCCTGTAGTCCCACGTACTTGGAAGGCTGAGGAGGGAGGATCTCCTGAGCCGAGGGACTCGAGTCCAGCCTGGGCAACTTGGTGAAACCTCATGCCTACAATAAATTAAGAAAAATTAGCTGGGCATGGTGGTGGTGCATGCCTGTAGTTCCAGCTATTTGGATGGCTGAGGTGGAAGAATTGCCTGAGCCCAGCAGGTCAAGGCTGCTGTGGCTGTGAGTGTGCCACTGCACTCCATCCTAGGCGACAGGGTAAGACTCTGACGCAAAAAAAAAAAAAGTCATAGTGCATGCAGGAAAATTTTAGGAGTATGTACTATGTAGAAGTAGGTTTTAAAAAATATTAATCCATATGAGTGCAATATTCCAGATAAAATTTTGTCCTATTAATGCTGTGCCTTTTAGCACTTGACTTGTACGTCCTTGTCTTATTAAAATCAATATTCATGTAGAATAAAAATATTTCAAAGCTCTGTATGACTGTTTACATATTTGAAAGCTATGTGCTACAGAAAGGCTAATGTAATAGGCAGATCATAAAGAAATTGCTTGCAGTTCATTTGAAAGGATCTAAACCAAGTGAGTAGGAAGTGACTTACTTTGGGGAATAATGCTGCCATTTCTGTAACTGCTACATGTATCCTCTCTGAGCAGGGAATATAACTGCAAGAACATTGAAGAGGTTATTCAAAGACAGTAAAAGTGATTCAGAGGCAAAGACTACTCGAGTGCTAGCACAGTTTCCATCTGCATTCCCTTAAGAAAGGGGCTGAGGCTGTGGCCAGCCTGCTGTACACCCCACACCACCAGATGGCACATGGCTGCAAAGCAGGGTCCCCACCCTTTCTTGAAAATTCATTCAATCTGATAAGAACAGCTTCCAGTTACGAAATATGAAATGTGGCAACATACACTACCACCTAGATTAAGCCACAGAACAGTATACAAAGGTATTCACACCTCTTCTAATTGGTAATTTATTTTTCATGTGTTTCATCTTCCTAATTTCTAGAAAAAGGATTTCCATGCAAAAGGTCACAGAAGTGAAAAATAAAGGACTGAGAAGAAATCCTTAAAATTGTAATTGGAACCTACACCACGTGTCAGTTAACCAATGGATACTTGTAAATTCCTTCATTCAAATGCATGAGAGTTGGGGAGGCAAAAATCCTCACTTTGTGTGAAGAGAAAACACTGAGGTTTGCTTTACATACTGCTCAGACCCTCATCTCCTTTCTCATGAAGTCACCACGTGCTTGTTTGTGATAAAATGCTATCAGCACAGTGGCACCTTCTCTGCGCATTGATGAGCTCTGAGGAAATGAGGCACTTTAAATCTGTCTGCTCAAGTCCTTTCTTCCAGGTCGCCTGGCCTCTCATGGCCCTGTAATTGACACTGTGACAGCTACGGCTTAAGGTGCACTGGTTTTGCAGACCCATGTAATGTTCCCAGTAGTCCTGTGAGGCTGGGACTATTATCACACCTATTTTTCAAATGAGAAAACTGGGACCCAAAAAGGAGAACATATCCAGGTAAGAGGAGGGCTGAGCTCAAACTTGGTGTTTGGTGCTTGAGCCTGGCTCATGACGTCAAAGAGGTGACAGGGTCACGTCTTTCTTTATAGCAGGCCTCTTTCCGCTGATGAGTGGTGATCTGACTTCTTGGGATGACACTTTGGTTTCATCTAGAATTCTTACTCTTAGTACTGTGACAAAAAACAAACAGGGCTAGTTTCCTACACCTGAAAAATGTGAGATTTGTGCCCTGAGCAGTACATGCTACAAGGTGCAGAGGGAAAAAACCAAATTGATGATGGTATTAAGTTCTTAGATACTACACTGCCACCAAGCCTGGGCTTGTTTCTAGGAGGACTGACTCAGGGCCCAGGAAGAGAAAGGGACATGGGAAAAGCACTTTAGGAGGCTCTTTTTAGCATGTTAGGAAATAACTGCTGTGAATATCCTAGTTTGGCCTTACACAAGACCCCACGTGGCTGTGTTTTAAAAGTTGTCCTTCTAAGATACTGAACCAAATGCCATTCAGCATCTATCATAGACTTAAAGCCTTCAAGTAACATTATTTCCCATTTTTAAAACCATGAAGTTGGCTTCTGAATAAAGACTGTCATAAGCAACCTATGTACTCCATATTTGTAAGAAATCTAGAATCAAAACTGTTAATTAAGATTGTCTACATTTTAATTAAACCATTACAGTTCAAGAAAATGGCTTATATTATCCAAAGATACCTTCAAGTGGAGAATCTTGACTTTTATCTTTGTGAGACATTAGAAACACATACCATGTAATAACAGGAATGCCAACACATAGATAGTTAACTCGTAAGTACGAAGGGTCAACAACCTCACTGGTCACACTCAGAAACAGCAATGTCCACAGCAATCACTTGTATCATACAGATTAATGGACCATGTGCCCATTAATGTCACAGTAACTGAGAACCATACCCAAGAGTTTTAGGTTTTGTTTGTTATGGTTTCATTTTGAGAACTACAATTCACCTTCTTCCTCTGCTACACAGAGAATGAGTTTTTCCTAAGGTCATTTCTCAAAAGCTCACTCATTATGAACAATTTTGGGAAGCCTTCAACAAGCTATAAAAGTATAAGCAGATTAATGATGAAGCCCTCCTCCTTTATCAGAAAGAGTTCATGCTCGCAACTTTAAATTGGTCTCTTTCCTCAAAAAGGTTTCCATGTACATGTGGTAATTCTGTGTGTGTGCGTGTGTGTGTGTGTGTGTGAGAGAGAGAGAGAGAGAGAGAGAGAGAGAGCGCAGCACAGGAACCATGCTGCAGGGGAAAGAGAGGGAGAGGGAGAGGGAGAGGGAAAGAAGCCCAGAAGATAGAACCATGCTGCAGAAAGGTCAGGAGCTAAAGAGAGCTTGCTCAGATCAGCAAGAGAAGTAAATAAGAGAAGAGAAAAAAGTGTAGGTTTAATTACTACAATGCAGTTATAGATAAAGAATCTCAGATATCTAAGTAATCAGAGATTTTAATAGTATATTGAGCTATTGAACAATTAAAAATTATAAATTTATAAATTATAATTCATAAATTCTCTGGACTAATTCTGGTTTTAAACCAAAAGATCGAGCTAGTGATTAAAATCTCTGCTTCATTCATGATCTTAAAAAAAAGAAAGAAAGAAATCAGGTCATGATATGTGTTGAATGGATTTGTGCACCTTTTAAAAAAAAGAAGAAAAAAACTTCCCAAATTGTACCAAGAACCATATTGCAATCTTTGAAGACAGAAATGGCCTCAGGGCAGATATTTATATTTTTGACAACAGAGAGAGCAATACAACGTAAGCACATTTTGTAGTTTGAAGTACAAGCTAAGCACTTCCATACTAGCGGAAATGAAAAGTGTAGCACACACTGATAAATGGAGGGCACGTGCTCGGGAAGGAGTTACACTTGTACGAAGATTACTTTCTTTTGAGAAGAGGTCTTGCTCTGTCACCCAGACTGGAAGGCAAGGTTGCAATCATAGCTCACTGCAGCCTTGAACTCCTGGGCTTACGTGATTTTCCTGCCCCAATCTCCCAAAGCGTTGAGATTATGGGCTTGAACCACTGCGCTAGCCCCAAGATTACTTTAAACATTGTCAAAAACTGTACTTTGAGAAGTCACAGAACACTTTGCTTTATGTAATAAGATGTATCACTCACTGCCAAAACTGCAGCCCTGAGCAAAGTGACTATGTGCTTATAACATGTGCAGCCTAAAAGGCATGGCACAAAGAGGATGCCAGGGAAGGAGGAAGACAAATCGTCATACAATTTTCTTGAAAGGAGGTTGAGAAAGGATGCAGGTTCCTCTGTTTCTCTAAGGAGCTTCTGGCAGTCTATCTGTGAAGACTAACTCTCATCTTTCAATAAAAACAGATTATTGCTAGCCATGGTGACTCACGCTGGTGATCCCAGCACTTTGGGAGGCATAGGTGAGAGGACTGCCTGAGCCCAGGAGTTCAAGACCAGCCTGGGCAACTTGGCAATACCTCGTCTCTATAATAAATGAAAAAATTAGCTGGGTGTGGTGGCACATTCGTCCCAGCTACTTGGGAGGCTGAGGAGGGAGGATCTTCTGAGCTCAGGAGGTCAAGGTTGTGGTAGGTGAGTGTGCCATTGCACTCCAGTCTGGGTGACAGAGTGAGACTTCAACCCCAAAAAACAGACAAAAAACAGATTATTCCTCTTCCCTGGTGGGAAATAATGACATGGGGACATGCCTGAGCTATACAGAAAAGAAAGTAGAGAAAGGGGAGGTTGGCCCGGCAGTGTCAGAAACACAGAAGAGAACACAAAGGCCTAAGTACATCCTTTTGTTTTTTGAGTGGGGTCCTCCCTCCGTTGCCCAGGCTGGAGTGCTGTGGTCCAATCAAGACTCACCACAGCCTCAACCTCCTGTGCTCAGAAGATCCTCCTGCCTCAGTCTCCCAAGTAGCTGGGACTACAGGCATATGATACCATGCCTGGCTAATTTTATTTATTTTTTGTAGAGATAGGGTCTCACTATGTTGCCTAGGCTGGTCTTGAATTCCTGGGCTCAAGCAATCTTCCCATCTCAGCCTCCCAAAGTGCTGGGATTACAGGCATGAGCCACAATGCCCAGCTGGACGCATGTGAGAAAAAACAGAGAGAAGAACCAAGTACTGCATCCCTTGAATGCCTTTTGGTCATGCAAGGTGTGACTGAAGTCCTATACTTTGTGGACCTAATGGGATTGTTCTTGGGTTTGACCAAACTGCTGCTTTCTCAAACTCAATGTCATGATGTTAAACGTTTTATGAGTGTGTCCATATCCAGTCAGTCATGGGAAACTAGGAAAGCAATCCAATTTACCAGAAGTTCTTTAGATTGAACAAAAGGATAAGTTGGACCAAGAGCCAGTTCCTTCCTTAGGGTAAGAAATAATACAGGATGTGCTTCCATTCAGAGTAAGCAGACTCTCTTTTCATGGTCAGATAAATATTGGGGTGATGACTAGATCAACTTTTATTTCTAAACCTCTCATTTCTTAGAAGTTTACACATACAACTGATATGGACATGCATGCATGAGGGAGACAGAGAAGAAATCAGGTTCCTTTCAGGATTCCTTTTGTGTCAGCAACCTTGCCCCTTGCTAGGGAAGGTGAGGGAGCAGCAGTGGCTGGAAGCAAGTTTCTGAGATAGGCCTTGTCCCTTTTCCACCAGAACTAGGGCTGTCACTGTGCCAAATACACCACTGCAATCCTATTTCTAGAGGCATCACATTTCAGGGAGCTTCATAAGAAGATGAAAAAGGTGAAAATACCACGTAAACAAGACAAACCCAATCCAAACTGACACATTTGTTTTTATGTCTATCATGTAAACTTGAAGTTTTCAAAGACTTTGAAGTCACCACGTTGGGAACAATTGCTGCTGAGAACATGAGTAGCATCTCTTTTAGGGCATGTACATACGTTCTCCCAAAGTAGGGTTTGTGGTCCCCCTTACCTGTCATGTTTGTTTTCTTGGGCGGCTCTTAAGAGCTCCTGTATGTTTTTGGTAATCTGTTCAGTCTTCCGGATGACATCTTCAGTGCTGGGGAGGGTGGGGCTTGGGGCCACATGGGGTTCTGCTGTGTCCGGTACTGAGCCATCACCTGGCCAAATCATACTTCTTTGCCTTCCCTTTCGGCTTGACCTGTGAACATTAAAGATGTGGCTAAATGCAGCAGGTGCTCATCAGCTGCTTCTATTTCTAGGAGCCACTTCATCTGCATTGACTGAATGCAAGAGCGGGCTGTTTTTACGTTTCCTTCATCTTGCCTAGGAGGAGACCCAACAGCAAGGCTCTGTTTCATCAACTGATGGTGACAACTCATGTGGACGCTGTTTCACTCTATTTTAGGGCTGGAGGTTATGACTCCCATAGAAAGGGTGAAGGAAGCCGGGCTCGGTGGCTCAGCCTGTAATCCCGTGCCTTGGGAGGCTGAGGTGAGTGGATTGCCTGAGCCCGCGGGTTCAAGACCCGCCCGGGCAACTTGGTAAGACCTCATCTCTACAATAAATCAAAAATTATCTGGGTGTGATACCATGCACCTGTAGTTCTAGCTACTTGGAAGGCTGAGGCAGATGGATTGCTGGAGCCCAGCAGGTCGAGGCTGTGGTGGCCGGGAGTGGCCACTGCACTCCAGTCTGGGCAACAGAGTGAGACTCCAACTCAAAAAAAAAAAAAAAAAGCATTTTGAAGGAGAGAAATGGAAGGGAAATAACTGGGGTTGGGAAGGCTTGTGGTTATAAAGCCATCTCCAGTGGAGTCAATTTCTTGGGGGTACAAATGCATGGACTTTTTGGTTTTTTTTTTTGAGTTGGAGTCTCACTCTGTCACGCAGACTGGAGTGCAGTGGCCGCACCCGGCCACCGTAGCCTTGAGCCGCAGGGCTCCAGCGATCCTTCCGCCTCAGCATTCCAAGTAGCTGGAACTACAGGTGCGCGCTACCACGCCCGGCTGATTTTTTGATTTATT